CGAGATATATCTACTGAAACACATATCAGAGTTCGAGGCAAATCAAGGAGATGGTATTTTCTTTTGATGCACACACTTTGTGAGTTTACTTTATTGAAAGCTAATGAATGCTAATGTGATTTTTCTTTGGAGAATCAGTAGACGCAATTACCGATATCAAGACGACGTATGGGATAAAGAGGGATTGGCAAGGTGATCCATGTGTGCCAATTGGATATCCATGGAGTGGATTAACTTGTAGCAATGAAACTGCTCCAAGAATCACATCCTTGTAAGTGCAAGCCTTCTATGAAGCTTAAATTTGTCTTAGTGAATTTATGAGAAAATGTTAATTTTGTGGACAGGAATCTATCTGCAAGTGGACTAACTGGTGAAATATCTTCTTACATATCAAATCTAGCAATGTTGCAAACTTTGTAAGTGTCTCTCCATAAAAAACCTTAGTAGGGGAATATTAGAGATATTACTAGGACACTAGGAGAGGCGTAATTTTCGTTAGATTAAGCGCTCGGTAGAAAAGTGGTTTTACGTATGCAGATTTGAGAGTAGTTTTTAGAAGAATCCGGACCTGTCGAGGTGCTAACTTGTTCTCAATCAGGGACTTGTCCAACAACGAGTTGACGGGAGAGCTGCCAGAATTCTTAGTAAATATGCCAAACTTAAGAGTCCTGTAAGTTTCTTAGTTTTACTCCTGACGTCAAGAACATGAAATTCCAGGTGAAATTAGTTGAAGGCTGTTTATATCTTTACTGTATTTGCAGTAATTTAACCAGAAACAGATTCACAGGCTCAGTTCCTGAGGCTCTCCTGCAAAGGGCTGAAGCTAGATCTCTTACATTAAGGTTATCTATCAAATTTCTAAGATTTTTCTCATTTTCCCTGTTCTCTCTACTGCCATGTTTTCACCTTCTAATTTTACTTTTTTCATGCAAATGATTAACAGAAAAGACAACTGAAAGTAGTCAAATTACGATCTCAAAACTTTCAGGATTTTGTCTAAAAATTCTGCAATTTAAAAAGCTTCTAATAGGTCTAGTCGCGTCATTTCAAAAGTTTTTAATAGGTCCCTAAACTTTCAATTTTGCGTCTAAATTGTTCCTGCCGTTACTCCACTAGCTTAATGCTTACACAACCAAATGCCTAAACCTACCCTGAATAAACTTGTTGCATGATATTTAAATAATACTGCAGCATGCTAGGTAAATATTGAAGTGACGAAGTTAACATCGGGATCTATTAGAAAGAAGATTGAAAGCTCATAGGCTTGTTAGAAACTTCTTAAAGTACAGGGACTCCTTATAAACTCTTTAAAGTACAGTACTTATTAGACACAACTCTGAAAGTGCAAGGACAAACTTGTAACTTAACTGATAAGAATTCATTTGCTTAAAATTTAAAAGTTGACATTTTCTTCTGCTTGTGCAAGTGTGGGAGGAAATCCAGGTCTTTGTACATCACTTAAATGTGATGAGAAGAGGAAGAATAACAAGAAGAGGAAGCACTTGGTCCTTACAATTCTCTGCACTATAATACCTGTGCTTATACTTATCCTATTCCTAATGGTTATTCTGGTAATCTACAAAAGGAGAAAACAAAGAGGTAAATCTCTCATTTCTTCTCCTTATGTCTCTATACTTAGTTAAATTCATCATATTTCAAGTAAAGACAATGAAATTAAGCTAAATATGAAGAAGACTTCCTGAATGATGAATGATCTTAAAGGTGTAGAATGAACCAAAATGTGCTTATTTTCCTGGGTGCAGAGAATCTCAAAAGATCAATCCAAGAAAGGTTACTTAAGTCAAAGAACCAGCAAGTTCATTACTCTGAGATACTGATTATAACAGATAACTTGAAGACAACTATTGGGGAAGGAGGATTTGGAAAAGTATATTTGGGTGTACTGAGTGACAAAATTCAAGTTGCTATCAAGTTGTTGTCTGCATCGTCACGGCAAGGCTCTATTGAATTCCGAGCAGAGGTCTTTCAGTTTTTTCTGTTGTTCAAGTTTGCTTGTACTAAGTTAACTAGTTTTTGATATAATGTGTATGCAAATGCAGGCTCAAATATTAGCAGTAGTGCATCATAGAAATCTGGTTTCTCTCATTGGTTATTGTGATGAGGCTGAGAATAAGGTGCTCATATATGAATTCATGGGTAATGGAAATCTACGTAAACATCTATCTGGTAATTATAACATTGTCTGCCCATCATAACATAGGTCAGTAGATAAGACACATATTATCTTCCTTAAAGGGTGACCCTATTGTCAATAATACCTACCCAGAAGTCGCATGTTCGAACGGGTGAGCTTAGTAAAGGAAAAAAAATCATTAATGTCTTCCGTATCTAGACCCTAGGGCGGGTGCGGGTACCCCGCTATATCAGAGTTAAACTCCAACTTTGGGTTATCAAAAAGAAAATTATAACATTGCCTTAGAAAAGGAAATTTCCCTAAAATGTATGCATCCTGATGGCTGGAATATGATTTTGTTTCCCCTTTTTCAGATTCAAGCTCAAATGTGTTGAGTTGGATGGAAAGACTGCAGATTGCAGTTGATGCAGCAGAAGGTGTACATAAATCATATCACAAAAGCTTGTGTGTTCATTCTTGTTTTCACTTACCCTTCTGGTTTGTGACATTTGGTATACAAACTACAGGGCTGGAATATTTGCACAATGGTTACAAGCCACCTATAATTCACAGAGATATGAAGACTTCTAATATCTTATTAAATGAAAGAATGGAAGCTAAAATATCAGATTTTGGACTGTCCAGGGTATTTGCAAATGAAAACGATACTCATTTGTCCACATGCCCAGCTGGCACCTTTGGATATGTTGACCCTGCATAAGTATCACCGACCAACGCATTGATTCACGTGTTTGATATCTGAGTTTCAGTTCTACCTAGCAACTACTATTAACTAAACGATGGTGACATGTCTATTGAAAAAATGTTGGTTGATTTGACACAGCGTAACAGAAGAAAGTAGATAGTCAATCAAACTAAAACGAATGGTGCACCATACCCTCTTTATTATGCGTTTACAGACCGTGCCACTTTATTTTTTCCTGAACATCTAATTCCTCGTCAGTTTTTTGGCGCATTATGCCTAATCAACCAACATTTGTTCGACAAGTATGTCTTGTCATTATTCAAGTTAAGAGACTAAATCTAAGACTACATTTGTAACTGAACCTACTTTTTTTCTTTGAAGTGTTTGTACACACAAAAAAAAAAACAAAAAAACAAAAGCTAAGACAGAAAAAGCTGTTGCAGGATTCATTTATCAGGAAACTTCACCAAGAAAAGTGATGTGTACAGTTTTGGGATTGTGTTGTTTGAGCTCATCACTGGCCAGCCCGCCATAATCAAGAACTCTGGAAACAACATCCACATAGTGGACTGGGCTGAGCCTCTGATAGCAGAAGGCAGCATCCAAAACATTGTTGATCCGAGGTTAGAAGGTTCCATGGAAAGCTGTTCTGTTGGGAAATTTGTGGAGCTGGCTTTGTCGTGTACACTGTCAAATTCAGCAAAAAGGCCCGACATGAGTGATGTGGTGACACAACTCTTTGAATGTCGGGAAATGGCTCCGGACAGAACCCCACATAGGCCACTTAATAACACTTTGAATTTCTCGTTCAATTCTATTGGCTCTGAATTAATTTTAAGTCCTCGATAGAAGTCATACAAATTACTCTTTCTTTTTGTGGGTTCTGAAAAACTTGATCATTCTTTGATTGCAGCCTTAAATTTCATTGATCCTCCTCTGAAAAGAACAGTGTAAATATTGATTTTTGGGCTGTCCAAATTTAGTGGCAGTAGAAATTCAGTTAAAGGAGATGAATTGTTCCAAAGTCAAAATTGACTTTTAGAAGTCAGCGGTTTCCACATGTGGGGGAAGTTGTGCAATTTCAAAGTCTGTTCCTGAACATGGCAAGCTCAGACGAAGAGTTTTTGAACATGGATGCCGTAGCCCTCTTCTGCTCCGATACTATCCATTCAACAAATTCCCACAAAGTTTTCCATAATTTATTCGGCCAAGGGGTTTGTCTTTTTCCTCCACCTTCGTATCGCTAAAAATGGTGGAGTTCTGCACTTTAATTATTCTGTGTGGCTACTGTAATACAATATGATCCTCACTTTTAAGACTCTGTTCGATGTATAATTAGGTGGTCGGAAGATGCATTTTCACATTTTTACCACAATCATTTGCATATGATCTTGAGTAGTTTTTGAAAATGTTTAAATCTTATTTTGGTATTTTCTGATTTATTTCGTTTTGGTTGGGCTTGAACTTTCAAAGGTATATTTTATTCTCTTCGTTTTGGTCTTCAAAGGATGGGAAATGGAACCTTCGACCTCTAGAGAAAGAACAAGATGGCTTAATCGCTGAGCTATGCTCATATTGGTATATACTCGAAATTGTGTTATTACTTTGTTAAAAGGTAATTATAGCATCCTCATGATTATTAATGATGGGAAAGCCTTGATTGTGTAGTTTTCTTTTGGCGGGTCGGCGGGGGTTCCGTCTACCATTATCCCCTTGCTGTTTTCTTGGTCCTTTTGTTAATATACCGTGATATTTCTTATCAAAAAGAAAAATTAAAATAAAAGAAAGGACCAAAATATTTAATATTTTAAAGTTTAGTCAACCTGAAAGTTGAGAGACATAATAGACATTTCAAAACTTCAGGGACCACAATGAAATTTAAACCTTTTGAAAATATATAGTTTTTCAAATAGGCCTGAACTCATTGATAAACAAAAATATTATAGTTTCAATATTTAAATTAATTGAACTCAATTCGTGATTCAAAGAATTGTAATAATTTTCTAGTGTGCGAGTCAACTTGCCCATGTAACGTGTTCTCTAATCTCCCATGCTGTAAGGGAATTCCTCATGTGTTGACTTTACTATTATCATCACAGCCTTACCATATATATTCCTCAAGCTGTAGAAATGGCTACTTTCTCAGTTTTAATCAATCAATGCAGCAAAAGATATATTCCTCAAGAGGAAGAGGATAATGATAGTGGGAACATCAGGGCATTCCCTCTTTGGTTTCCTGCTAACTGGTTTGTCACTGCCTCTTCTACTTCTTGTTCAAGCACAAGATCAGTCAGGTAACAAAGTTGCTCCTTTGTTGATTAATCTATCCAACTTCTTCCAAGTTCCAATCATCTATGTATAGAAACTTGAATCTTAAGTCGTCTGTCGTTTATTCCTCAGGCTTCATTAGTTTAGATTGTGGATTACCAGAGGGTACAAGATACAACGAAACCACGACCGGTATTAACTATGTTTCTGATGCATCCTTCATAAATAGTGGGGTTAGCAAAAGCGTAGCTTCAGCATATGGAGAGGGAGATACTTATCCAAGGCAACTGAGGATGCTGAGAAGCTTCCCTCAAGGAATTAGAAACTGCTACAATGTAAGCATTGTAAAGGGTACTGAATATTTGATCCGAGCAAGCTTTTTGTATGGGAATTATGATGGGCTGGATTCGCTACCGATGTTTGATCTCTATATTGGGAATAGCTTGTGGCAGACATTGAAATTCACCAGCAATGCCATGGATGCTTTCATAGATCTCATACATGTTACCTCCTCGAATGAAGTTCACATCTGTCTGATCAATACCGGAAATGGAGTGCCATTTATTTCAGCATTAGAATTTAGGGCTTCACTCAACATCACTTTTCAAACAGTGGTGACATCCTTATCGCTTTACACTCGAATGGACATCGGTTCAATAGAAGATCGAAATTACAGGTAAATAATAAATTTACTGCTCATGAAAAAAGGATATGTTTTAACAAGTTAGAGATGCTAATATAATATTTTGTTTATGCGCCTTCTTTCTCTTAAGATTCCCTCTTGATGTTTATGATCGTATCTGGTCATCATATAACTCCAACGAGTGGACACAAGTAAGCACCAATCTTACAGTAGATGCTCTAGGGGGCAACAGACTCCGACTGCCATCCATTGTGATGGAAACTGCTTCCACTCCAAAAAATGCAAGCAAGCCTCTGGAAATTTGGTGGGATTCAGTAGATTCATCTCAATATTATGTATTTATGCACTTTGCTGAGTTTGTAAAGCCTCGAGCCAATCAAACCAGAGAGTTCAACATCACTTACAATGGTGATTTTTTTTATGGACCTGTAATTCCAAATTATTTGTCCTCAATGACTATTTCCACTCAAGATCCATTAGAGGCAGCAAATAGATATTTATTTTCTTTCACTCCAACCGAGAACTCGACGCTTCCTCCTATCATCAATGCTTTCGAGATATATACCGTAAAACACGTATCAGAGTTAAAAGCAAACCAAGGAGATGGTATCTTTCTTCAGATGCACTTTTTGAGTTTACTTTAGTGAAAGTTAATGAATACTGATTTTTTTTTCTTTTTTGGATAATTAGTGGATGCAATTACAAATATCAAGTCAAGTTATGGAATAAAGAGAGACTGGCAAGGAGATCCATGTGTGCCAATGAGATATCCCTGGAGTGGATTGAATTGTAGCAATCAAACTGCTCCAAGAATCATATCCTTGTAAGTGCAAGCCCTTCAATTAAATTGTCCTTGTATATGAAGGATGGATCACATGAATTCATGAGAAAATGTTGATTTTGTGAACAGGAACCTATCGTCAAGTGGATTGACAGGTGAAATATCTTCTTACATATCAAATCTCACAATGTTGCAAACTTTGTAAGTGCCTCTCCTTTACAAATCTTAATAGGAAAGTATATGGATATTATTAGGATATCGAGGGAATAATTGTCATTGGATAAAGAGTTTGGCCTCCAAGGAGCAGTCCAGTTGGTAAGGGCTTAGGGTCTTTTGGTCATACTGGCTTATAGAGGTCTCAAGTTCAAACCTTCTGGTGAGCTTAATACCAAAAATGTTTGATGTCTCTTGGGACAGACGTTGGTACCCCTGGGTATAGAGAAGCAAAGCTCCAACTCTCAGTTATCAAAAAAAAAAAATAAGTTAGTTAGGAAAGTGGTTTCACATATAGTAGGCTAGAGGGGTTTGAGAAGTGCTTTGATATTGTAATTTTCCCTTTTTATGCAATTTTTTTAGGCCTATCATATCAATAGATGATTTTATGCTGACTTAGTATCCTGTTCTCTATTAGGGATTTGTCCAATAATGAGTTGACTGGAGAGCTGCCGGAATTCTTAGTAAATTTGCCAAATTTAAGAATCATGTAAGTTTCTTGGTTTTAATCCTGATATCCAGAACATGAAATTCTAGTTGAAAATTGAAGCTCATCCATCTTTTCGACTTTGTTTGCAGTAATTTAACCAGAAACAAGTTCACAGGCTCAATTCCTAAGGCTCTCTTGCAAAGGGCTGAAGCTGGATCACTCACATTAAGGTAAGCTATCAAATTGATTAAGTCTATTTCCCCTCACTTTACTCTAAGCTATCTCTCACTTTCTCTAACAGAAGAAGACAAATGAAAATTAATTTGCTTAAACCTGACATTGTCTGCTGCTTGTGCAAGTGTGGGCGAAAATCCAGATCTTTGTACAGCACTTAAATGTGATAACAAGAGAAACAATAACAAGAAGAAGAAGCACTTGGTTCTTATAATTCTCTCCTGTATAATAGCTGTGATTCTACCAATCCTAATGGTTTCTCTGGTCATCTACAAAAGGAGAAAACAAAGAGGTAAATCTCTCATTTCTTCTACTTCTAAAACTAAATTAAAATGAATCACATTTAAGTGTGGAATGAACCAAAATGTGTCTATTTTCCTGGGTGCAGAGAATCTGAAAATATCAGTCCAAGAAAGGTTACTTAAATCAAAGAACCAGCAAGTTCATTACTCTGAGATACTGATTATAACAGAGAACTTGAAGACAACTATTGGGGAAGGAGGTTTTGGGAAAGTATATTTGGGTGTGCTGAGTGATAAAACTCAAGTTGCTGTCAAGTTGCTGTCTGCAATGTCACAGCAAGGCTACAATGAATTCAGAGCTGAGGTTCAGTTTTTTATGATTCAGATTTGGTTGTGCTAGATTAACTAGTATGTAACTAATATACTGTGTCTGCAAATGCAGGCTCAAATATTAACAGTTGTTCATCATAGAAATCTGGTTTCTCTCATTGGTTACTGTGACGAGGCTGAGAATAAGGCACTCATTTATGAATTCATGGGTAACGGAAATCTACGCGATCATCTATCTGGTAATTACTTTGATAATAATTTCGTTTTTTGTTTTCTGTTTTTAAAAACTCTTCTTGTGTGGTACGTTTTTCACCATTCTTGAAAATACATTTGAATTCTTAGCAACATTTCAAAGAGACACATATGTATTATTATTGTTTATAAGCTTAAGTTTCAAAAATAAAAAACTATAAACAAAATGGTTATCAAACGGGCTCTAAAGCGTATGTATCGTGAGGGTGATGACTGATTGAGTATATAAAATATAAGATGGTTTCTTTCCTTTGCTAATACAGATTCAAGCACAAAGGTGTTGAGTTGGATGCAAAGACTCCAAATTGCAGTTGATGCAGCACAAGGTGTATATAAATAACACAAAAACTTATTAATTCATACTTTTTTTACTTACCCTTCTGGTTTGTAACATCTAGTAAACAATCTGCAGGGTTGGAATATTTGCACAATGGTTGCATGCCACCTATAATTCACAGAGATATGAAGTCCTCTAATATCTTATTGAATGAACAAATGCAAGCTAAAATAGCAGATTTTGGACTGTCCAGGGTATTTGCAAGTGACAATGATACCCATTTCTCCACATGCCCTGCTGGCACCTTTGGATATGTCGATCCTACGTGAGTAACAACGATCGATGTGCTTTGTTTTCGCTTGATAAACTGACGTTCTCTTTTCCTATTGAACATGTTTATTTAGTACTTAAAACTTTAAGAAGTTCCAATTAAGCTCCTAATCTTTGAATCTTAATTCTACATCGCACTTGTTTTTTTCCTTTTAAATTTATAGTTTAGCCGAAGTATTTCCTACCGTTCAACTAGAATTCAATGTCTGAAGTGCTAGCTCCTCTGTTGAAGTGTCCTAATACAACAAAAGAACTGAGACACATAAATCTGTTGCAGGGTTCATTTATCTAGAAACTTCATCAGGAAAAGTGATGTTTACAGCTTCGGGATTGTGTTGTTCGAGCTGATCACCGGGCAGCCCGCCATAATCAAGAGCTCTGAAGACAGCATCCACATAGTAGATTGGGCTAAGCCTCTTATTGCAGAAGGGAACATCGAAAACATCGTCGATCCGAGGTTAGGAGGCTCCATAGAAAGCTGTTCTGCTGGGAAATTTGTGGAACTTGCTCTATTGTGCACATTGCCAACTTCTCCAGGAAGGCCTGAAATGAGTGATGTGGTGTTACAACTCATTGAATGTTTGAAGATGGTTCAAGACAGAACCCCACAAATGCCACCTAACAATGCTGAGAACTTGTCGCACAATTCAATTGGCTCTGAATCATTTCTTAGTCCTAGATAGAGATACAAAGGAATCATTCATTTCTTGGATTCCAAAATTTTCTTGCTTCCACATTCGTTTTTACTGCTGCCTTTTTAGTTTCATTCATCTTTCTCTGATAATGGAATGAAATGATGAGAGCTATATAGACTTGAAAGTTTTTTAGGTCAGCCTATTGGTGGAGGTGGCAAAAACTTTGGCCCATTTCACGACTATTTCGTTTTTTTTATTTTTGTTTTGTTTTTGAAAAGATTCACCCGAGTAGGGACGAAAGTTGGCCCAACTTGATCCTCTTCTCAAAGATCTCAAGATGAGGAAACGTTAAGAGAGTCGCAAACTCCTCAAGCCTATGAATGAGGATCTTCTCGAAATTCACAAAGAAAAAAAGGTCAGGTCAAGTCGAGTCGAATGAATAAATGGATAGAGGAATGATGAGGCTTGAATCCGCAATTTCCGTCTTGATAGGGTGGTGCTCGTTCTTTTTCTTTTATTGTCAAAATTCTCATACTATGACGACCAATATTTATGTGTAGACTACCCATCTTTTACTGATCATCGTTAAAATTTTATATACAGGAGAGATATGTAGAAAGATATTTTTTTTCTATTAAAAAAAAAATAAGAATTTCCAAATTTCCAGTGGTGGTGAACGATACACTTATACACATGTATTTTTCTATTATGACAACATGAGGAGGGTATAAAAGTCATATTTTCCCAATAAGTATATCATAGATTGTAGATATGTCTAACGTATCAACGATATATCAACAATTAATGATATAGATCAAAAAGTAAATAATATCTCGCAAATATTTGTTATATTGCATATCCCTTTCTCTCTTTTTTTATTTTTTTTTGCTTTCCAACCGATCTTTCAATACTTTACGGTAAGTTTCTTCCATAGCATATAGCATTTTCATCTAAAATATTCCAATGATCTAATGTCTAACTATTTGAACTATATATTGGTTCGGTAAGATTCAAGGCGAATCGGAAAGGAGACACTATCATTTTCCCATTTAGTGCATGGCAGCTCTTCCTTACCTACTTTCCGTCCTCCCTCTACTGCACTGCTTTCAAAATCAACACCCTTTTTGTCCCTTTTTTTTTTCTCCAAATATTTTATGTTTTAATAACATATATATATTTTTGTACTAAAAAAAATAATAACTATATATATATATAATAATATAGTATTCTCATAGGTTTTTAAAAATATGACCTTTTATTTTTTCCTGATCTGGCTTTTGCATTTTAATGGAATTTAAAAAAAAAAAACAATTTTACTAAAGAGAGAATTATAGTCATTCAAAAGTACAATAATAAAATACCTTTAAAAAATTCATTTATGCTCGTCTAAAAGATATATGTTATCAATTAATTAATGTGATGTATGTCCAGAAATATGGGATGAGGAAAAATAAAGGGTGATTTGACCTTTTTGAATTTTAAATGGTGAAATATGAAATCCAAGACTTTCTTTTGACTTTGTTGTATGAATTTGTTCATTAATAGCCTGTTAAATCAAATTAAAATGTGGATGTGACCTTATATGTCTTTATGTACATATATTCACGTATTTGGATTTAATGGGAGGGATAACTCATTTGTCAAAGTTTATAATAAATATAGACTATTCTTCTTATTCCGAATTGATTTTGAGGTGGAACTCCATGATTGATATGGTATCAGAAGCCAACAAGCTTAAATGAACAATCAGTCCAAAAGTAGGGTTCGTCAAAGATTTGGTGATCAACCCAAAAGAAAGCCACCAGAGAAGAATATTGAGGACGTTTATAATAAATATATGCTACCATTCTCGTTACCAATTGGTTTTTAGATAGAACATAATAAATATTTATTTCATTAAGCAAATATATTACACTCATTAACACTAATAATTATTTTTTTTTAAGGACAATATGGGTCCATCGGATCATAATCTTATTTTTCTCGTTCTGTCATTTTTCAAAAATCAAACCTATTCGTTATTTTTTAGTCATCTTTTATACTTAAAAGAAATTTCGAGATATGGACTACTTTTTTAAAAATATAAGAAATGGTCACCAAACTTTTACAAATTTATTAAAGATTTCAATACTATTTTTTAGAAAAATAAAAAATAAAAAATTCAACTATTATAAGGAAATAGGGCCCTAATAATTCAATTTTATGAACATTGGTGGTTGAATGAAGCTGATTGCTTTGAATGTAATGAATTATCTTAAATCAACTCTCCCATTCATTGTCTGAAATATTTTTTATTAGAACTGAATCCTAATCAGAAAAGTGGTTGGTTTCATTGAATGAGTGAGATTTTATATTCAATTTAAGTTTTTCTGAGTAATAGATTTTACTAATTTAGCTTTTAATTTCACAAAACTTGGCTCTACATAATAGCTATAAAGAGATTTTTTTTAATTGTTGCAGTTGAAAACACTATTTTACTATATATATATATCGTTTTATAGTTTTTATTTTATTGAATTGAATCTTATGAAAATTAATAATTTTTATCAATAAGTTGATATAACTAATAAGATAATTTCAATACAATTTTATTGGTGGTTGATTGTTGTTTGTTTGGACATTAATGGGTGGATTTGGACTTTTAATTTATGTTGATGGGGGATGGATTTTAGATAATTTATTGGAGAGTTTTCTTTTTATAAATTTTTTGTCTTAGTTTTTTTTTTATAATTTTTAAACTTAGTTTTAAGAAGGGTATAATTTTATTATTTAATTTTATAAAATCAAAACTTTGAAATGAAAGTCCATCCCGAGAGAGGTTAGAAGATTAATTCTCAATTCTATTTTATTTTACGGTTTTTTTTTTCTTTTTCTTTTTTGAGAAAATTTTAAAGGTTAAATTACTACTTTATTTCTATGTTTTAACCTTGATTTTAATTTGCTATACTTTTTAAAGCTTTCATTATGTCAATAAAAACAAGTTAGTAGTAGTATTGCATTTTAAATTACTCTGCATTAATGATAGGGACATTAAATAAGCTTTGTTTTCAAAAGAAAAAAAAATTATAAAATTTTAGAAAATATATAGTTAGTAGTATCGCATCCGCTTTTAGTTACTCTGCATTATTAATCATAGGGACATTAAAAAAGCTTTGTTTTCAAAAGAAAAAAAATTATGAAATTTTAGAAAATATATAGTGTAAAAGTTATAATATAACTCATTAACCTATATTTAATAAAGAAATGCATAAACAATGCTAATATTTTAGAAAATATTAAATTACAAGTTAAGTTTAACTCTAATAAGTTTAATGACTCATCTAGAAATTATTTTTAGAATTCAGAGATTTATATTAAACACAAAATTGAAAGGTTAGGTTCTTATTATATACAAATTTTAAATTTTGTGTTATCCCTCGTATTAAAAAAAACAAATAGATTAGTATATTTATTAGACACAAAATTAAAAATTTAGGACGGGTTTGTTAACGTTCTCCTTTATAATTTTATTGACTATTTTAAGGATAATTTTCAAAATTGTATAAAAATTTTGGAAACAATAAAAACGAGTTTCTTATTTGTTGTTTATTGTTTATTGTTTCAATTTCCAATTTGTTCCAAAACATAAATAGAAACATTATTTTATCATTATTGAATTCATGGGTGTCAAAGACCCATGCAATTCCATTTTTATTTACTATAAAATGAGAAAACAGAAACAAGAAATAAAAACGTTATCAAATGAGGTCTTAAGAATCTATGAGGTGCTTTTAAAATTTTAGAAACTTATCCGACACGAAAACAAAGAAGTTAACRACTTAGACACAATATTGAAAGTTCAAAAACTAAACTCTGTAATTTTAACTTCTGAAAATAAAATTATAGCACTATGTCTTACCATATGTTATCATAAATAATTTTTTGATGCTTCTCGACGTTCATTCTTAAATAATGCCCACGTAACTAATGATTAATGGCGGTAAAAATTGAAGCACGTGGTGAGTTAAAAGATTTTTTCTTTGGAGAGTTGGGATTATAAAAGCAAGACATATGGATATGATTTAGAATGAACAGAAATATATAGCTCATGCAAGCTAAGAACACCGCCGAAGAAAGAAGATGGCTGCGTTTATTATGAGCTTCTTCTTCGTTTGTGCAATGATATTTCCAGCCACCGGCTCTGCCGACACCGGCGCCGCCGCCGCCACAATATTTCCGGCAATCTTGATGTTCGGCGACTCGGCGGTGGATGTGGGAAACAACAACAATCGCAGCACCCTTTTCAAGGCCAACTACCCTCCTTACGGCCGAGATTTCATCAGCCACAAACCCACCGGCAGGTTCAGCAATGGAAAACTCGTCTCCGATATAACTGGTAATCAACCCTAATTTTCTACTGTGTTTCGTGACATTTTTGGACTGTTTGATAACGTTCTTTTTTGTTTTTTTTAATATTTTAGAAACATTAGCGTTTGGTAATTGTTACTGTTTCTTGTTACTCATTTTAAATAAATGCTTTTAAAATTATGTAGAAATTTTGGAAGTAATGGACTCCTTTACTAACGTTCTTGTTTTCTTTATTCTCTTCCTAATTTTGTGAAGAAACGTTTAAAAACTATTTATGTTTCTTTTTTTTTCCATTTTTCTAGAAACATTCTTAAAATTATATAGAAATTTTGAAAACAACAAAAACAAGTTTCTTGTTTCTTGTTCCCGCTTCTAAGTTTATTCCAAAACATAAATAAAAATGTTATCTTATCATTTCTGAATCAATGGGTGTTGGAGCCATGAGTTTTATCATTGTTTACTCAAAAATAAAAAACAAAAATAAAAAACAGAAACGTTACCATATGGGCGTTTGTTTCTCGATTTTATATTTCTAACTTCAAAGAACATAACTATATATAATTGCCCAAACTAATAGTTATGTTAAAAATACTCAACTACATAGTTAAGAAGATATATTTTTAAACGGAGTTTCGAATCTCCACCTATATATGTTATTGAACTAAAAAAATGCTCATATATAAACGTGTGAACACAGTTTGTAGTTATGTTTGATAATCATTTTAGTTTAAACTTTTGTTCTCTCATATTTTAGGTTATTAAAAAATAGTTTCTTAAAATAAAATATTGAAAATTTGTTACATTTTCTTTAATTTTTTAAATATTTATTAATTTTTTAAATATTTATTTTACATTTTACAAGTAAAAATAATCAATGTTATTAATGAGAGAAATCTCAAATGATATGAAAAAAACTAAACTTCTTGTTCCCAAAATTTGTATATAGTTTTTAAGTATTCTCTTCTAACATGAGAAAGGAGAAGTATATATGAATATTTACTAAGAATTCTCTTATACGTCTCGAGTTTAAGTCTTCTATTGGTCACCGTGGTTGTTCAACTCAAACAATTATCGGGATTACTATTTGTTAAAATTTATAGTACTACGTATGGATGATATCTACTCCTTTATTTGCAACTTAGTGGGTAAGCACACGTACACACATCTCTCTTATTGACAATCCTAATATATATATATATATATATATATATATATATTTATTTATTTATTTTGGGGGAGCTGAAATTTAAGAAGATGGAATTACAAAAATAGCACAAAAAATTTACCTATTTATATATAATAATATTAGATTTAATTTTTTTGAAAATAGCATGATTTACAGACTTCTATCATCACATAAAAATTATGATATTTTTATAAATATATATTTATTTTATAAAGTTTTTTTTTTCGATGCAGCCGAAATCCTCGGTTTCCAGACCTACCCACCGGCGTATCTCAGCCCAGAGGCCGTCGGCCGGAACCTCCTAATCGGAGCCAGCTTCGCCTCCGCCGCCGCCGGTTACGACGAGCAAGCTTCCATTTCCAATGTATAATGGCGCCTCCTTCCGAGAATCGGAAAAAACCTTTCCTCAATTAATTCGAATCGCCGAAAATTGATCGATTCCTCATTTTGATTTGTTATTGCTTCTACAGCGCGCGATTACGCTGGCTCACCAACTCGATTATTACAAAGAGTACCAGAGGAAAGTTGCGGCGGTGGCCGGACGGGAGAAGGCAGCCGCCATTGTTAAGGATGGGTTGCATATTGTGAGCTGCGGCACCGGCGACTATCTTCAGAATTATTACATAAATCCGGCGGTTCGAAGACGATTCACGCCCGATCAGTACTCCTCTTTCCTCGTTGCTTCCTTCTCCACCTTCATCAAGGTACTTTCATTTCATTTAACCTAATTTAGCGAATTTTGTTCAACTCGCCGTTAAATATTTTCACAACTTATTATTATTTTTTTAAAAATCTTTAATTTTATATTAATCTCTCTTAATTATTAAATTTAAGGTCAATGAGGACAAGGAAAATGAAATAAAATATAAAATAAGAAAGAGATTAAAATAGGTTAAAAAATATTTTTTATCTCTCTTGAAATTACGATTTAACCTCTAAGTTTGTAATTATTTAGTGCAGGTAATAATTTAACCCCGAAACTTTAATATGAAATAATTTAATCTCTGTAGCTTAAAGTTTGTAACGATTAAGTTCCTCTCGTGAAAATTTTTACGCTGAGTTTTTTATATATGTAAATCGAAAATCCAAGATACCAAATTTGTTTATAAATTACAAAGAATAAATTGTTATATGATAAAAATCGACACTTAATTTTGATGAGATTTTTTACTAGTGAATAAATTGTTACAAATTTTAAACTATATAGTCTAAATTGTTACATACTCAAGTTCATAAACTAAATTCATCCCAATTTGAAAATATAGGAATTAAATCGTTACAAATTAAAGTTTAAAGACTATGGACCCGTTTGGTAATATTGATGTTTCTTATTTTTCTTATTCGTGTTTCTCCATTTTTTAGAAACATATATTTGGTAATCAATATCATTTCTCGTTTATAAATTTCGAAAAACGCTTCTAAAAAAGGGACTAATTTTTGGAAACTACAGCGCTCTTTTCTGTTTTTGTTTCCTTATTTGTCGGTCTAGATGCTACTTAATGATAGCATTTTTTTTCTTTTTTGAGAAAAAAATGTTAGATACTATATCTTGGGCAATATTGTATGTAATTGCATTATTGTCTGGGGCGCACTGTGTACCTTACTTTCATCATTCTCCTCCATATCCGATCTGTGTCTCATGCAAAAGGTTAATTTTTTCCCTTTTTTTTAATTATATATTTTTTAATGTAAAATATTTTGTAAATTTTAATATTTATTTAAAACTATTACATTTTCTTAAACAAAAAATTTTGTATTTTTCAAATTAAAGCTAATAATTTATATTTTTTATTAAAAAATTATATTGTAAATTATATTTTCTTTAATAATTATATCCTTTAGGTATATATTATATTTTTTAAATTTTATTTTAATTAAAAATAAAAATAAGCTAACCTGAAAAGTTATATATTCTCGATCAAGAAGTAGTGGGTTCGAATCCCAACTCCCACGAGTTGTTATACTAAAAAAACAAAAAATAGAAACATAAAACATAAAATAATTATCCAACATATTTTTGTTTACATTTCTTTTTTCTTTCAAGAGAGACAAGAAACATAAATGATTAACAATCATATTCCTGTTTCTAATTCTAAAAAGAATAGAAACAAGAAACATAAAACGAAAATGTTACCAAACGAATCCTAAATCGTTACTTTATAAAAAAAATGACCAAAATGTGATTTTTAACGGTTACTCATCCTGGGGAATCTTCCAAGGAACAACCCATCACTATCCTAAAATTTTGATAGTTCTTATTTTTTAAGAAAAGAAAATCTCTCAGTGAAGTATCATTTTTTATTTTTTTAGTACAACATGTGATAATAAAAATTCCAACACATAACCTCTTAGTTGGACATGTATTTAACATTTTTTTAATTAGTACTGAGTAAGAGACTCGAATATCTCACCTCATTTAAAAATAAAAATAAAAAGAATTGGGCTTGTCGAGGCTATGTGGGATAGCCCCATTAAATGCACACCTTCCTCCCAAGCAACTTGCCTGCCTCTTTCTTCATTATTGTCATAAAAATGGACAGCTCTCCAAATAAAACATAGCCACTCTCCTTTTCTTTTAAGTGTCACATCACTGTTTTATTCCATATATCTGTGTTATTTAGGCCAACAATGAATGAGTGAATACTTACATTTACCCTAATAATGATGTCGAGGTGTTTGTCGGTAGGTAGCTATCTTTCTCACTTACCACTATAAAANATATATATATATATATATATATATATATATTTAGGTGTTGGTCAGTGTTAAATGGTTGACAAATAAGATAGAATAATGCAAAAAAAACGAATAATAGTTAGCACTTAAATATTGTTCTTAATAATTTTCATTTTTGGGCCAAAGCATAATCCAGTTAGTAAAGATTTGCGGTCTCTTAGTCATGCTAACTTAGAGGTTTCAAGTTTGAACTTTGTGGTGAGAGGTTTCAAATTCTAACCTTCTGGTGAACTTAATATCAAAAATTTTTTATGTCTCTTCAATTTAGCCTTGGAGCCGGCAGGGGTGCTCTTGGATATAAGGAAGCAAAATTACAACTCCCAGTTATAAAAGAAATAATAATAATAATTCTAATTAATGAGGACCTATATCTTGGCCTTACTACCATGAATGTTTGACAACTAAGATAAAGGAAGTGTACAAATAGTTGATTTTTTTAAAATAATGAGCTGTAAATTTTTCAATGGTGGTTTGGATAGAGATAAATTCTCATCGGTCAAGATCTAGATATATTTTTTTTAATTGTCCCCAAAGGATGGTTTCGGTAGCTTGGGACCTCAACGAATATTCTTGAGGTCTTTGAGTTCAAGTCACATGGAACACAATTCCGCCAAACAATGACTCCTTGCATATTTACGGGTACGTGATAGTGTGCATACCCCAAGGTAATCCAGGCATAGGGGCATAAAGGCCAAAGGTCCGCTGACTCGTGGTTAATAAAGAAAAAGTATATATTTTTTTAATCTCTTCTTTTACATATTCATCTCTATCTTAGTTGTTAAATTCTTAATAATGATAGATAGGAGATAACTACTTACTGGTAAGCACTTAAATATTATTTTTCGGAGTCCGAAAAATCATTATTAAGGTATATATATGTTATATGTTCTAACTTCTAAGTTGGGATTTGTGGGCTTTAATGAAGGATTTACATGGGGTGGGAGCCAGAAGAATTGGGGTCACCTCACTTCCTGCATTAGGCTGTTTTCCTTCTGCCCTCGCTCTCTTTGGCTTCCAAGGTAAGGGCTGTGTCCGAACAGTCAACAATCATGTCCTCGTCTTCAACAGGAAGCTCAACTCTACTGCTGCAGCTCTCCAAAAGCAGCTTCCAGGTCTCAAACTCGTCATCTTCGACGTTTTCAAACCTCTATACGACGTTATTGCTTCTCCATCGAATCACGGTGAGAAGAGTGGTAGCATTCACTCTCTATTTTTTTCCTTTATTAAATTACAAGTTCAGAGTTGTGTCAGGTTGGTTCCTAAACTTTAAAGAGTATTTAAAAGATTTCTGAGCTTTTAATTTTATGTTTAACAGGTCCTTAAAATTTTAATTTTACATCTGTTACATCCCTGACTTATATTCACAGGTCTATTAGACATGAAATTGAAAAGATAGAGAGATCCTATAAAGTTCACATCCATAAATCAAAATATATCGAATAAGTTCATGACATATTAGACACGGAATTAAAAGTTTGGGAATCTCACAGACACGACACAACTGTTAAAAGTTCAGAACTAAACTTGTTATAACTTTTTTTACTTTTTCCCTCCAAGGTTTTGATGATGTGAGAAGAGGGTGCTGTGGCACTGGGGCAGTAGAGACAGCATCGGTTTTGTGCAATCCAAAGACAGTTGGAAGAACATGTTCTAATGCGACCAAATATATGTTCTGGGACAGTATCCATCCATCCGAGGCTGCCAACCAGATTCTTGCTGATGCAATGCTTATCCAAGGCTATGCTCTCATCTGATCTTCACCATATGGGCTGTCTTTTACACTTTTTTCCAAATATTTCGTGCTTATCACAGCAAACTCTTCTACTTGTTAAAGACATGATGATATGCTTTTGATCATATTTAGTATTAAAACGTTGGACAAACTCAATGAAAAAGTGAAGGCCGATAAAGAATACGTACTCTTTTCGTTTTCCGTCTTGCTAACAGGCAATCCATAAGTTATACATTTCCTCACAATGGCTAGAGAAAGTTGATAAGATCAATTTAATAGTACAAGTAACATTACAACATAAGTCACTGATAGAACGGTATCAGCGGAATTAGTTTCTACCTACCTCCTGTGAACGGTATGGTATATTGGGCACTAAATACTCGGCCCCTTAGCTAAAATACACATATGAACAGGTGATGAAGCCATGGAAAGGCAGACAAGCTTCGTGATGTTCAGTACGAATCAATGGATGCAGCACCCTTCCTATGCGACCGGTTCTTTGCTCCCGGAGAGTCTTTCAAAACTTCAGCATATTTCATCAACTCAGACTTTTCAGAAGATTCTGTATCCGGACTAGGAGTTTTAAATGGCGAGTTGCTCATACGGTTGCTACCTAAAACAAGTCTTTTGTTAGTGTATCCACCATCACTGTTCCTTCTAACAGAGTCTTCAGGTTTTCCATACTCTTGGCTACTCAATCTGCGAAAATCCATTGAATGTCTCGACGAACTCTGAGATGAATTTGCAGATCCGATACCCTGTCCCTCGGCTCTCGTAGCATTGGTGCCGGTAGAATTACTCGAACTGTAACGTGGAGAATCACTATCTTCCATGGATGCAGCAGATTTTTCTGCTGACAGAGCCTGGTTTTGTTGACTATCTTTTCCCTTCAAGAGTTTCCTGAGTTTACTTATGAATTTGATTTTGTTTGAACTTGGTTTTGTTGTTGCTTGAAAATCAACATACGAATCATCCTGATCTGTAAGAGAGGAAGCTTGGGAGGATGACCATTGATCTGAATCAAAATCCATAATGTTGATGCCCTTCCCTTCAATTCCTTCTGTATTTGCATATTCGAGTATGAGCTTCTTTGCTTTCTCCTCAGATTTGGGGCTTAACGTTTTGCTTAGATCTCTTGCCGCTGTTTTCCCTGGTCGGGGCTGATAATTCCGCAGCTCATATCTTAAGCAAGCATTAATCCAGCGAAGATAGACTAGCTCTTCAACATCTGCACACCGGTGAGCTTGAAGTTGCTCAATCTCCTTCATCAAATTTTCATTTTCTTGTCCTAGACGCTCCCTTTCTTCTTTCAGGGATTCTTTCTACACAAATAAGATGAGAATGAGATAGATAACGCAATAAATTTTTCATCACCTTACGATTGGGGAAAAAAAAAAGTAAGATAGATTTACAGCAAGAAGGGTTACTTCTGGGTCTTCCAAAATAGAATTTGCAAGAACTTGGGTAGCATCTAATCTCCGAGCCAGATCAGAATTTTCTATTTGTAATCTCAAATTCGAGTTTCTTAAGTCCTCTACCTCTTTCTCCAAATCTTCAATCCTTTTCAGCTTAATTCGGGCATCCTTATTACTTTCATTTGTCTTATATTCTTGATCGTGCAGCTTAGCAACTCTTTGCTGAAGATTTAAGATCTGTCCCCTGTTCTGTTCTGCTTCATATCTGAGTTTTTTCTTGAGAAACTTAATTTTTGCTCTTGCAGCCTCAAGGTCAGACACTGATTTTGCATGATCAGAAACTTGTGATTCTAATCTTCGATTATCTGCCTGAAGGGACTCGATCTTGAGGGTGAAAAGCTTGGCTTCCATATTGTTAATCTTCAACCTATTTTGGAGCTCCATGACAGCAGTTTCCTGCTCTTTCAGGCCATAATACTCAAGTAGCTGAACCTCAAGGTTCCTCTCCCTCTCTCGAAGCATTTTCACCTTACTTTTGAGGTGCCTGATCTCTTGTTCATAGTCATCCGTCTCAAAATTGTTATATGCTTTCGGAGTTTGAAGACCCGACCTCAATGCTTCAACGTTCTTCTCATGAGATAACCCAGCATTCGCTGCAGGAAAATCAGATTCCTTGACAAGTTCCTGAAGCTCAGGGAGAAACAACCCATCTTTATCTACACTACGCTTACTGCTAGGGCAGAGACCAACATTTGAATCATCAACATTAACTTTTGGTATATACATCTCTTCCTGAGAAAGAAATCAAACTGACAATTGACGACATGGGCTTAGAAATGACTGTAATACATAACATGCACCTTATGTCATTTAAACTCCACAGTAGCCTAAGAGACCAACAAATATTCAAAACAAATCATTGCGCATATCGGTTTTGTATTCACAAGGACATAGGCTGAGGGAAAACAGTCAACAGTCCCAACGGTTTTTTCATTAATAAGATACTTTCATCACAAGGTATTAGCATTTACACAAAATTTGCACAGCCAAATTCATAAAACCTACCTGGTGTCTAAACTTTTCGAACATTCTAAGTTCTTATTCATATTACCAAAATGTACAAACATAATTTAGCTGGGACAAGTCTGTAAAATCTATCCTATGAAAACTTAAATAGGCATCAGCTGCAAAAAGAATAACATTAAAGGAGGCAGATGTTGCTACCTTTATTGCTTGATTATCAAGTTTAGGTCCTCTTCCTCTACTCAAGTCAACTTTATTGCCCTGATCTGCTAAAATGGAATTGATGAAATTAAGAATAAATTTTAAGAAATCAAATAAGCACACAAGATTAACTGTAAAACCTGAAGAACTTGACGAGGGAGGAGGCAGACGAGGTCTTTTCTTCCTGATTCTAAAGCGGGAATAGAGAAAACCAGCAAAGGAAATAGCCAGAACCACCCCAAATTTTAATAATATAGGCTTTAAATTCCTCTTCTCTTCCATTATTTGGTATCGAGAACCTTCAATCTAATCAAACTAATGAACCCAATGACCAGAAGTTATCATAGGTCGTCGTCTTCATCATCCTTCATCTGCATAAACCAAACAGAATCAGATGATCCATTCGAAATCAAAGCACATAACAAGTTTCGTAACCTAAACTCAACCTAGAATCCATTAGAGGTCGAGAATCATAACAGAAAACTCATATTACCGATCAACAGCGGCAGAAAGAGAGAATAATTTCATAAATTAAACGAAACCCATTGTGAGATTTTAGTAAAAGAGAAGGAGAGATTACTTTAATTTTGTAACAGAAAAGCGTTTGGGAACGGGAACGCATGGAATCAACGGGAGAGTTACGGTTTGACGTTGGGCTGATCCTGATCGCCGCTGAATTTGTTTCTATTTGGTGCTTTTCCGTCCGTGTCATAGACTGATTAAACAGAATTCCAAGTGTAGAAAATTCCAACTCGAACTGATTTCTTCTCCTTTTAGAACTGGCGAACAATGGCCACGCCGTGTCGGCTTCTCCATGCCATGGCGAGACGTGACGTGCGAGAGCGGGCCTACCAGAAGGATTTTGGTCGATGGAACAGGAAAAGAAAGGAATCTTGATGGATTCCAACTCGAGAAGCTGAATCAGAATGAAGGAGGGAAAATTCGAAGCAGAAGAAATAGGAATCATGAGGAAGAAGATACGATGGGTTTTGTTTATGGGATTGTTCAAATTTAGGTGTGTTTTGTTTAGGGATTTTGGTGGACGAGCTGTTGAATCGTTCTTCGTTTTTTTTATCTTCGAACTGCGAACTTGATCATTTGCCCTCGTATTTCTTCGTGTTCTTCCCCCTCTTTTGGCAAAATGACAAATTTCCTTTCTATTTCCACTTTCCATTGATTTGGATTTTGGACGGAGGAAAAAAATAATAAAAAATAAAAAATAAAAAATAATAATTTACTAAACGAACCACAAGAGAAAGAGCATAGTTCTAATGGTTAAAACATCTATATCTAATTAATAGGTCATAATTCAAACTCCCAATTCCAAAACAAAAAATGTTAAAAAATTTAAATGTGGTATCTTATTCTCTTTTTGTTCGTAACAAAACTTATGAAAATAAGAATGGAGAGAATGAAAGGTAAAAGTAGAAGAAGCAAAATAATATTTTAAGGAAAATAACTTTCCTCCCCTCTCTTTTATTTTACCATATATTTATAACATATTTAATTAAAAAAAAAACCCTAAAATTCTACCCTCCCTCCTCCCTCATTTTTCCCCCACCCGTTTCACTTGTGAACTGAATTCTGCCCCCATTTTTCAATTTTCCAGTCGCAAGCATCCCCTGTTTTTTCTCCCTATTTCTCTCTGCTGCAACGCGCCGCCACGCCGGCGCGACCCCCCTGTGTTAGGGCAACGAACTTTGTTGTTTGAATTCTCCAATCGATGACACGAATTTCTCGCCCGAAGCTCCACCTTCGCAAGTGGGTATGTCACTACTTATCTTCATTCCATTGATGATCTCATCAAGTTCTTGCTTCTTGTCGAGTTTTATTCAATTTTTCTAGGTATTTTGAGATTTCTGGCGCACGACATCCCCTCTCCCATTTTTCCGTCTCCTTCCCTCTCAAAAATCTGAGATTTTGGGCTTTAATGGTTTCGCCGACCGACTTGTGTATCAATTCTATCTATTCATTCTCCTTCGACTCTCTGTTTCTCTCAAAGGACTGGAGCAACACGAAAGTCCATCGTCTCTTCATTCCTCTCGGACTCTAAGCCCTCTGAAAGCCGCTCTCTCAAAACTCTCAATTCAGCGAAGGTTTGAGTTCCTGTCCTCGGTTCTCTTTTGTTTTGCAATAATTTGTTTAGTGAATTATAATGTCTGTGTAAGAGGGAGTTGCTAATCCCATCGAACAATTTTTTAATCTGTTCAAGAAAATTGCCTTGGAAAGAGTAGTAGTTACAGTAATTTGAACTGAAAATCGAACTGGGCAGAACCTGAACAGAGCAATTTGGTCCAGTGCCGTTTTGTTTTTTTATAGTTTTTCTGGCACCGGTTTGCGCTCACTTTCACGGTGCTGATTCCACATTAAAGTTTTCAATATGGTATAGATGCCCGACCTAATCGAACTTCGCCCTGCCTGAATTCACGCTGTGCTATTAGGAGAAACGACATTGTCATTGGTTTTGGATAGGAAAATTTTCTCATGTCTGTTTATGAAAATTCTCTAGCGGCTAGCCCATCTATTATAGGGATAATAGGTGTGTTTAAGATGCATGGTTATAAATACTTCTCAAAAAAATGAGTTCAAGTTGTGTTTGAATTTCCATTCTTTCTGAAAATTGGCACCTTGAGGTCGACGAGTCCATCTTCATTTTTTGCAGGATACTAGTGTGACTAGTGTCACAACTTGCAAATGAGCGTTTTTTTGTTTCAGCCATTATCTGAGTGACTCGTCAAAACAAAAAAGGTTTCTAGAATTCCAGGTATTGTATCTGATCACATTAACTTTTTACAATTGCTGTTGAAAAAACCTAGTCTAGCACACAGATTTTAGTGTCATCATTTGAGATCGGACCTCCTATTTTATGTTTTTACCTAGAGTATTTTCCTCATTTGCTCTACACTCAAGGAGATGGCATTTAGAGGAGGGCGAGGGCGAGGACGAGGTGGTGGTGGTGGGGCCTTTCAGTACGCCAAGCAAGAACCATTCGAGCTTTTCCCAGAGGTGGGTGGTTCCACAAGCTAGAAAATTCATTCTAACTTTTGCATAGGTTGAAGTGGTGGGCTAATAGTAAATGCTATCAAACTTCCTTAATACTCAACTGAGTTAAAATTAGAACATCTTTGTAAATTTTACGTGCATTATCTCACTTATATTTTCTGAGTATTGAGTGATTGTGACACAGACTTTTGGGTCATGTGAACTTTTAGATAGTTTCAAGGATGAATATACCAAGGCTTTTGGTTTTATATGAAATCTGTAGTCCATTTTTCCACATATGTAGGTTTCTTCTCTACCCTTTCCTCTTGAATTTTTACTTCTTTTTGGGATAGTTATGGGTGTATAGGCCAATTGCACATCTCAATTAATCCCTTGGAATAACCATTTTATCCTTTATCATTTGGTGTCAAGAATTTTGTAGGGTATTTCCTGAGCGGATGACCACTATAGTTTCAACCTAAATAACCTAGAATATCAGTTTTTTATTTCTCGATATCAATCCATCCATTTTTCTAAATTTAGTTGATGAAGGCTACAAAATATGCGTCAAATTGTAGTACATATATTCGCAGGCTTCGTGGCTTTATTACATTTCCTAAGGAGATCTTTTCTGGAACAATTACAGAATGTAACCCTACCCAGCGTTAGTGATGTGCCTGAAGAAAAAGGCTTGGTTATTTGTAACTCCAGGTTGCTGAATTATTGGAAGGCCTCTCCCTTTTTCCTAGAGGAGAATGTCTTGAAAAGTTAGTGTCGCTTATTACTTCTATTTTATTGAAAGCATTGCTATTGCCTTTCTGTCTCGAACATTTTGTTGCATTGGATTTGGTAATTTTGTACACTGCTTGGATTTTTTTTTTTTTATCAGAGATGCAAAGAACCGAGATAGAGAAGTTTTCTGATAGATCCAAGTTAAATAGTACATTGAAGCGTGACTCCCTCGCACAAATTCTACAGCTCACATCTAGGAACTTCCCTGAAGAATTGGTTGAAGGTTTGTTATCTAAGATCTCTCAGTGAGGGATGAGATATATACTAAAGATCATCTGTTTAACTTGGCATTTACAGTAATCCTTTATTTTCAGGTCGCTTTATGTATACTGATACCCTACTGTCAAATTTCAGGTTTCAAAGGGAAGTTGCGGAACAAACGAAAAGTTCAATGGAATCCCGAGTCAGGTTTGTTGGGACGATATGAGTTTCTGTCTCAACAAATTCAATGCCTATGCTATCTCTATCAGTCACCTTTTGATGGATCCTTGATTTACATATCTTGTTACAGGGCTGCAAAAATTGGACTTTCTCGAGAAGCGCGAAGAATCTCTCAAGGTAAGACATTTTCCACTTCAATCTCTAATTCCATTTATAACTGCAACTCACTCTTTTTTTATATTATTGTTGTGGTTTATAATTAGATATTATTCTACACTTTGCATAAGATCCCTGTGCTGATATTTCTTTTTTGTTTTTACTTCATTAGGGGCAGGACAAGGATGACAAGGAGAAGAAAGAAGGAGAAGAAGGTGAAGACGAAGAAGACGAAGAGGACGATGCACAGTCTGAGGAACTTACCGATGATGATTATTATCAGGTTCTGACTGATATACTGAATATGAATCTAAATCTTCATAAGAGCTCTTTATAGGATCTATTTCCATTTTTCTGTTTCAATTCTTCTGCTTGGCAAAACCTCTTGTATTCACTCTTGAAATATTTTCTCCCACTGACATCACTGAGTTGCAGAACGAATACTTCGACGACGACGAAGACGATTACAACATGGAAGACGATGGTGGAGGTACAGTCTAATATTATGATAGATTAAAAAATTTAACACATTAAGCTAGATAAAGTTGTTTAATATATTCTCAATACAAATACTGATTTACATGGTTTCATAATATTGCAGATGAACCAACATATTAGTCACACTATGGAAAGTGGTGGTAAGATTTGGAAGGCCATTGGGGCTTGTTTCTCCAACTTCAATCATTTAATTGGTAGGCCATTTGAGTAAAATAAGATTCTTGTTTTTTTTTTTTTTTTGAGACTGTAAAGTATTATATTTTTAAATAATTAAATTTAAGTTTAAATCATATTTTAGTTCTTCAATTTGCATGTGTATTTTATTTTATTTTACAAACTATGTAATAGATATTTAAAGTGGACATGCATTTTATTTATGAAACACGAGGTTTTAAATGTCACTATGGATTAATATTTGAAATCCTAGGCAGTTGGTGTGCTGTTGAATTTTGAATAATGTATCAAGGTTTCTGGGAAAATTAGCAAGTAGAATTTTGTGATAAAATATAAAAAAATTTAAAAGTTTGGGAGCATAAGTAAAATATTCAAAGGTAAAATTAGATTTGAACCATAGATTTAACTAGAGAATATTATCAAACACGAAATTAAACAAGAAAAAAAAGGAAGTATTTAACTCGATAAAATTCAACTTATAACATGTAATTGAATCTACCTTCAATTCAGATTATCCAATTAATTTGCTTAATTTTATCTTTTTTTTTAACCTCCACCCAAAAAAGCTTGATTGGCCCATCATTGTGATCGGCAAAATATACGCAAGTGACTTAAATGTGACGATCCATTAGATTACAATGAAGGTGAAAAAATTTTCTAAAAATAGGATTTCGAATTAGTGTTCCATTGATAAAAGGTCAAATTGGTAATAAAATATTCATTTATTATTCAATCCTACGTCTACCTCCTTGTTATAAAAAGAATGAATGTAAAATAATTTTGATATGAATAAAATATCTGAGCATCAAAAGTTTATACTAAAATATCTAATAATAATGAATATGTAATAAATGCACATTCAATTTTATAATAAGAGTTAAAAATTCAAGTTTATATTAGTCATATGGGTTTATTTATTCCAAGTTTTCCAAGTTGATTCACTCATCTCGTGGTTGCATTTATACTTATGAAACTTACCACTTTACAAACTAAATATAGATTATATTTCCACAAACTTAAACTTATTTAAAAAATAATGTTATCGGTCAACATCTATTTTCATGTTAACTACAATTAAAAATTTTACAAGTTTCAGATTTTCTGAAAAATATAAATATATACTCTCTTTATGCATATCTCTTTCTTACTTGTCAAAATTTCAATGATTTGAGATTCCACGAGTAGTTTTTCTAAAATAATTTTTTGAGAACGTGATTTTAAGTTGTTCCTTTCTTTTCTATTTGTTATATTATATGTGACTGCATTCTAATATATATATATATATATATATATATATATATATATATATATATATATATATATTATTA